GGGGCTGCGTAAATATGGGCGCTGCTCGGAGGAGTCCTCGGAGGGCAAATACAAAGCTGTTCGTTACGAGCGGAAAAAGTTGAAGTTCATGCGCTTGTGTGGATCGGGTAACTGCTTCGGGGGACAGGAATTCTCGGAACCTGATGAGGAACTATTCACGACCGAAGGCTTTAAAATATCTTTGATCCCGTCCCCGGCGCGGCCCTTTGTAATACACACGGTGCAACGATCGCGCGTCGAAAGTGTGGGCCAGTGAAGAGAGGAGAACCGCGTTACGACGAGGACTTGTAAGATTTTTTGCCGCGTTACAGGAAAAGAGCAAAGGCGATCTTTTTACGACTTTCTTCAAAATTCTACGATCTGAGTTAAAAGACTGCGATTGATTTAATGAATATGACAGTCAAGGGAGAGGTACCGTTAAGGGCCGTCTTTGTACCGACCCTTGCTGAATTTTCTTAACTCTACGATTTTTTATTTATTAATGGTCTATATTTGACGGAATGGAGCAAGATTTGGTCATTTTCGGTCTCTCTTTAGATCTAATACTGCCCTACACAAGGGATCCGAGGGCCGACTTTGGCGAAGAATATGAGTCTTGAGATTTTGCGGTCGAATGCCCAAAAATCCGCATTTTTTGCCAAATCCGGGCTTCAGGCCCCTGTTTAGGGCAGTATCAGCTTTGTAAAGAGAACGGAAATGACAAAATCTTGCAAATGCACATATTGTTCCGTAAAATATAGACCCTCAATGAATGAATATCGCAGAGGAGTATTCAGGTTGGGCCCAAAAACGGCTCTTTTCGATAACTCCCCTTTGTCCTGAGAGAAAAACAATAAGACTTATGGGAAATTATCCTGCCAGCGGCGAGGCGTGAATGATCGATTAGCGCTAATTCTCAATTTGAAGCTATTGCAAAAATCGATTATTGAGTTGTTCGTTGTGAACACCCTACCCTGCTCATCGATCCTTTTCCATAGGTTTAAATGACACATACATTGATGGATCGCAAAGCACGCCCCACCCCGCCACTGTACCCTGTGACAAATTCGCAAAAATTGACGTCATTTCAGACTGAGCAGCCTCTCTAATGACCTTGAGACATCCGCAAAATTTCATCTTTCTGGGTGCTTCCGTTCAAAAGTTAGCTAATTACTCAAGAACTTTTGGACTAATCTATCTAATTAAAGCTGAATTCGTCGCTATGTAACCATCCAAACAATTTTATTAGGCCATTTCAGATGAATATTGACAATTTCATGAAGAACGGGGGACTTTTTCAATGAAATTTTCTGCTCGGGAATGCACATCCATTTTCTCAGAAATTGATTTTTGCACAAAATACTCTCCTTGAAAACCTGAAAAACTTATATGTCATATTGACAGTGAAAATACCAAACCGCGTATCTTGCACTGCGACGTTGCAAATTTTCTGTCACCTTTTATTTCTATCATAAAAATAATTAGTTGTGTCTATTAGACGCGCGTCCTTCTTTAAATCTGAGGGAGAATGAAATAATGCGGAAATGGACCTTGAAGGGACCAAATTAAAATATTTTCAACTTAATTAAGTACAGCCTTGGTGTTTGCTCTGTGGTGACAGTTTTTGCTGAATAGTTCAGGATTCACAAAGAACTCCCAAGCGTTGCCTGGCACGCGAAGCTATCTGACCACCTGTTGAGCTCTTGTTTCTAAACTGTCAACGCCACCACTCAACAATTTGTGGCTACGTGTTGCTTGTTGAGATCCACTCAGAATTACTACGCGAAACTCACACGTGTAAGAATAAACGAAAGCATGCAAAAATGAGACTATGAATTTGTACCAGCGTGCATACTCAAGCTAACCTTGATGTAAAAACTGTGTCTCTAGCAGCGTTCAGGACCTCCGAACAAGCAAACATGCAATTGGGTTAAAATATAAAATTAAATATATAGGTAAAGAAATAGAACGTTAGGATGATGTATATTGAAAAATGGACGTAGTTCTGCCAAACAGAACTATGTGCAGGGCCAGATTTACCCACTTGCCGCCCATGGGCCGCCTATATTTTGCTGCCCCCTTCTCATTCGTTCCGAAACATCAATAAAAACCATCAAGTGAACGTGCTAGAGGGTGCATGAGACGCGTTTACTCGTGTTGGACACCTTTTTTTGCGAAAGCCTTGTCAGCACTACTAGAAACAGTTCACGAAACTTTGCGTGGAAATTTAGTTCCGTAAACCTGTCTCTGTGTGGACAAGTCCCTCGATTTACAAGTATTGAACGAAAAAATTATGAAAGAACAAACATAAATGTGCTTTAATAATTTTAATTTCCGCCTCGCCGGCGCGCCGCGCTGACCGCACTGTATTTGGCGCAATGCGTAAAGTATTCATGCAGTCTTGTAGGCGCCACGCGTTTCACGCCGACCGCTGTCGACCGCACAGTGTTTGATGCAATGCGTGAAGTATTCATGCAGTCTTGTAGGCGCTAATATGTGTTACATGCCGACCGCCGCGCCGCGCCGAGGGCTTCTCCTTTTCGTCTCTAGTCCTCGTCATCATTGCTCTCTACGCCGCGCCGTTCCAGGCCAAATTGCGTGTTTGGTTTCTCTCTTAACCCGACTAATTAAAGGTGCTGCCTTTTATATCACCGAAAGACGTCAAAATTAGAAATATTACTACTCTCTCAGGAAATGAGAAATTTTGCCGCATTTTCTCGTTTGTAATTTTTTTTTCTGAATCCGATTTTTTTTTATACCTACATTTTAAAAAAATTCAAAATTTGCCGCCATGGGCCGCGGCCCATGTGGCCACCCCCTAAATTCGGCCCTGACTATGTCGTCACCTTCCAGGCAAAGTATCACAAGCGCCATGCGACGTTTAAAAATTTCCGCCGCCATTTTATTTTTTTACTGAGAAATTGTAGGTTGAATCTGTTCAAAAATTTTACTAAATTTTATCGGCAGCACAAAGAAAATTCGGTGTAATTTTCGGACAGGTTCGTTGAACAATTTCTCTGTAAAAAAATATAATGGCGGCGGAAATTTTTAAACGTCGCATGGCGCTTGTGATACTTTGCCTGGAAGGTGACGATGTGCTTTAGGACATGAGCCCTGAGACCCATAAGAATACATGCAAAACAGGGCTCATGTCTTAATGCACATAGTTCCGTTTGGCAGAAATACGTTCAAATAGAAGTCGCGAACAGGAATATAAAAAGCAGAAGCTAGGCAGAAGCACGGTTGCAAAGAAGAACAAATTAATAAACTTACGTATTATAGTAGGAAAATTTAACATCATCTGGATCGATATCGAAAATTCCTCCGGGATTTAAGTAGCTTCGACCATGGAGTAAGTGTTTGATGGCAATTCGGTTTTCTTCTATCAATGATTTCCGATCCTCAAAATGAGTCTCCGCGCCTGCATTGGATGTGAAGAGTGGATTATAAGTTTTACCTCAGGTTCAGACAAATGATGATTTTAAGGTAAATGTAGAATACAGGCTATTCGTCTTCAAATTGCAGGGAACTTTTAGGGCTTTCAGAGTTTAAATTGTGTTCATTTATGAAATTATTTGATTGGAAAGGCGAACCTAAAATACTCTATTCTGGCCATTTCTCAGTAAATGATAATTAAAATTTTATGGTCAGGTATGCCGAATGTTAATCGAAGAACTTACGTGGTAATATTGTAATAGATGAGTTCATAGAATGAGCATAAGAATTTTACATATAATTTTTATCAGTGATAATGTTTCAGGTCATTTGCACAGCTACAAATGTGATTATTGTGAGTTTCTTAAATGTTTGAACTTTGAATACCTCAAGAAACGATAGGCGGCTAGGTGTCGCAAAGCACCAGAGAGCGCTGTATAAAAGCGGATCTATACATACGATAGGCACCTCTAAACTATCCTTGTTAAGTGTTAGACATTTTAAGGTTGAATTCAGCATGTGAAAGAAAAATTAATTAAATGCGGTTGTAGCGAAAGCTTGATAATTTTGGGGAAAGTTTAATGTATCCAGAAAATGTTGCATTCTCGAATGGAATATTTAATTTTTATTTTATGGAAGGTATATCTAAGGGGGGAAATCTTGCACGCAGTGGAACAAAAACATCGAGACAAAATTGCAATTTAAATCGAATACACTTACTATATCTTCATCATGAAACTGCAGTCTTTTTACAAAATTTACTCGAATAATGTCGATTTTAATCAATCAACTAGATTCGTTCTATGAAAGCAAAAAACAGGTAATTTGCAATGCAAAAAGCAATCGTAACTTTTTTCCATAAAATTTTGAAATAAACTCCAAAAAGAGGTGCCCCTTCAATTCGCAGGTAGGCAACACACTCAACACTCCAATGCAGAAGCAATACTTTTACCGCGTCGTCTTAATCGCAATTTATTGCAATATTTGATACTCGATCGATGTGTGTAAGTCGCAAGCCAGTCTAAGTTAGTTTAAAAAAATTAAAAAATCTAAAGAATACAAATAAAAATTACCTACAAGCTTGTCAATGAACAACGTCAAGACGAACGTCACGTTGAGAAAACTAGACGAGGCTTTCATTTCGAAGAAGACCGGCAAAATAGATCCACGGATCACACCATTAATTCACAAAACACGATACGGTCGTCTCGATGGGAAAACATTCACGCGGAAGAACGTGACAAACGGACATTCTCATAGCCTCTCGGCGCGGCATGCAGTTCGGGCGAAAGCGAGCGGTTATAGTTATCACAACTCTTTTTCGAAACCATGTTGGAGCAAATGAGCTAAATTAAAAGACCCGGGTATTGTTTGTTAATTTGACAGTAATGAAGAGCCATACGCGTCAAAGGAAAACGGTTTGTGATTAAAATGATTTAAGGAGAATCAGCGACGGTGCGGTGGCACCTTTATCATCCTCGGGTTTCCGCATTGGCCCACTTGATAAGGCGCACGCACTCGAACTTGCTGGACATGGTCGGTACACTCGGCACTGCCGTGCTAAGGAAAAACGCCGTATGAACCTACAGGCGTTGCCAAATTTCCATTTCTAAAACACGAATTTCCTGGTAAACTCATACATATTTTTCTTCTAATTTTTAGATTATGATGCGTTTGCAATTTCACCTAAAGTTCCTGAAACTTTTAAGGGAAAATATTCATAAAGACTATCCTCAAAAATAAACAATTTATTGGAGGAAATTTGGCAACTCTCGAATGTTCATACGGCGTTCTTCCTTAGCAGGGCGGTCTAGTGCCTCGTGTGTTCACCACGAGGCTTCGTTTTCGTTTTCTTGTAGACACTCAAAAACATGCGTTATTATTTCATTAAAACTTCTTTGTATAACGATAGCAGGGGAGATACCTAGTTACTCAACCGTAAGGTACAGCCAGCGTGCATAGGTTTTCCGAATACTTTATCCTGATTATTGTAGATGAATGGAAGAAATGGTAAGATATTGGCTTTTTGTTCGTTTTACCCGTCGTACAGTGGGTCGAGTCAATGAGAGAGGTCGGACATGAAATTGTTGACCAAAACTCCAAATTTTGATGTTTATTTCGTCACATATTGCATTTTAAGGGGAGCTGTCAGAAGAAAATTCCACGAGAAAGCCAATGGAACCACTTTTAGAACCTCAAAGTTCTGCATGAACGGAGTTATAAGCTTTTAAAGTCTCCGAAGTTTGTCCGACTTCTTCTATTTTCTCGGTCCAGTGTGCGTCGGTGCTGCAACAACTTGCCATTTCATTTAACATTGCGAACGAATTACTAATCAGTGGCGCGGCTTGGCGCGTTTTGCGATACATTGATTGCTCTGTCATTTAAACCTGTGAAAAAGGATTGACAGACAGGGAGTTTGCAAAGAACAGCTCAAAACTCGATTCTTCACCACAATTTCAAATAAGGGAATATCGATACGATCATTCACGCCTCACTACTGCAAACACACAGGACCACGCAATAACAAGGGGGAACCAGTGATAGGGGTTATCCTCTAAAATTGTGGTACTACCCCAATTTGTTGGATGATATGGGCATTTCCAATTAATTTTGGTAGTACCGCGCAGCTCAATGGGCCTGTTGCATGCAAGAGATACAGCCGTGCGAATAGACTATATAGTGGTTAAATGACACGAAAATTACAATGCTCACATTAAAAAAGTCTGAAATACACTCTTTATTGCGCAATTTGCGTTGTCAGGAACGCGCTTTTTCAAATTTCCCGCGTCTGGGGGCAGTTTTCTAACGGAAACAATTAACGGCAACTCGCGGCTATTTCCGGTCAACTAAAACTGACAACATAACCTAAAAATCGGAGCTCGTGATATCGTGAAATGAAATGTAGAAGGATTGCGTTGGATATTTAAAAGTTGATCGCTTTGGTTACTGCATAAAGCGTATATGGACCACTTTAAGAGATCACGTTGGGTTTGTAAACAAACTGAAGGAAAAAATAACAACAACAACAACGACTCGACATCTTCCGGAAATCACCGAGCCCGCCGTTTGCTCGTTTTCGGTGATTAGAAAACTGCCCCCAGACGCGGGAAATTTGAAAAAGCGCGTTCCTAACAACGCAAATTGCGCAGCAAGGAGTGTATTTCAGACTTTTTTAATGTGACCATCGTAATTTTCGTGTCATTTAACCTCTAAAAAGTCTATTCGCGCGGCTGTATCTCTTGCATGCAACAGGCCCATTTGGGGTAGTACCGTAGCGTTTGGGTCAGTAACCTAATTTATGGGGGTCCGGACCACAATTAACTGGGGTACGAGCAAAATTAACAGGAAATGCCCGTATTATCCAAAAACCCCTAGATCTTTTTTTACCGCGAAGGATGGTTAAAAATCCAATATTATTGATTCTGAGGAGACAGAGACTATGTGCAAAGTCGGTCAGAATTTAAAATTCATGAAACGAAACTGCACAGCATTTAATAAGTTTACATTATCGGGAGCTTTTCTTCTTCATGATTGATTACCATTGATCGGGAAAAGTTTACAGCGGCTCATTTTCCCGCCCTATCGCCAGACGAATCGGGTAAACTCCCGGCTTCGAAAGGAGGAACAGCTGATAGTCGAGAGATTTCCGGAGGTGTGGCAACGTCGAATTTGAGCTCCAATTTCGGATCTCCCCGCTCGGCAATGACTCCCCGGGTTCTCTCCGCCGTCAACAGTAAATCGATACAATTTCAATTTATGAACGAAAAAGAGAAGAAAATAAGGGAAGAAGAAACATTAACAACTCTAATAAGATTTTAGAAATTCACCTCTACATCTCCACGTCGCGTCGTGCCGTGACGCCGGAGATACGAACAATATAGTATATACAACCAAACAACCGTGCCCAGAAAGAACGTCGTAGTAGCCTTCAGACATTGCCATATGGACGTATTTCTACCAAACAGACCTATGTGTCGATGAGAAATGTGGGGTGTGCTCTAGAAATCTGCATAAGAAGCAATGTAAAAGTGGGCGTGGTTCATTTTGAAGAATTGGCAAAGCGGGATATTGCATTCTATCAAACAGACCTATGTGCAGCTGAGTGCGGAACTCATGAGCCGCGGGCATGGCAAGAAAGCGTTGTGGACAGGGCTCATGAGTTAATGACCACGACTACCGCAACCACGAGGAACGTGACGCGGCGTCCTCCTCCGCTGACGTCACTGGCGCTTTATTATTCTCATTCACTCTTACGGCCAGAGACTAACGAGCACACCCCATATTTCTCACTTCTACATAGGTCTCTTTGGTAGAACTACGTCCATATTTATTTTAATAAAATGGGTTTTTTTATGAAAAAACCTTATATGAATATTTGCATCGCATTCCGCAAAAAGGAACCAGCGCAATAATAAAAGTGTAGCTAACATGTTACTTTGCTGTAATTATCTGAAAAAATCTCCGAAAATAGCAAATAGTTTTTGCATCCCACCAAAAATTGTTAATTTTAAGGAGAAATAGTCGTGTAAATTTTTAAACTGTACAATTAGTATTTTTAAAAGAAAAAAAGAAGTTTCACGATTTTGAAAATACCGTAATCACGCTGGTTCCTTTTTGCTGAATGCGATCCATTTTTCCTCCAATTTTTCAGATAATTATAATCGCATAATCCAGTCCGAAGCATTCGACAATTTCAACGAACCGAGTAGCAGTAATCGCGATAAGTCGCGATTTTATCGACGTTGATGTACTGCAACGCTATCTGATAAAAATTTGCGATTTCATTGCAGTCGCGATTTTATCGACGGCCTTTTATCGCAATAGTATCGAAAAAAATCATGATCAATCGAGATAAATTCCTGCTTTAAAGAACGCGATTTTATTTAGGTAAAATTGCGACAAGACTGAGTATAGTCACTTAGATGATGTTGATGATCCTAGCGCTTTTATCGTAAAAAATCACAACTTAATTCTAAAATTTCGCGATTTTTTTGTTGTAAAATGCTACTTGGGAAAAATATTCCCAACTTTTTTCTAAGATAAATATTCTATAGGCGGAAATTTGGCAACATCCTCATGTTTATACGGCGTTTTCCTTTAGCACGACAGTAAAGTCCCTTCACCCCGCCTCTGTTCCCGTTCCATCCCACTCGCGCCAGTATTTCTCCTTTCGTTTAATCATCACACACTCCAAGATGGCGAAATTAGTTTTCAAATGGATTCATTACTTTAATTAAGTGTTTTTTTCCTTCTTTACGAACTAGGAAATGAAGTAATAAAGATATTGAAAAGAGGGACGGCTCGGCGGCGCTTGGGCTCGGCAAAACGGCGCGACGGGACGTGGCCTAGAAAAAATTCTAATCAGCTGGAAGCAGAGCTAAACGAGAGTTCGTCTTGCGAATTGTTTTTGCCAGTACGCACTTTTTTGTCTCCGGTGGTGGCTCCTATCTGTGCGACAATCTCGGTGTTCTAAAAGCGCAGTTGTGTTGTAAAATTGGCTGTCACACGGTTCCTTTAATTAGTTTTTAGACAGCAGGTAAAAGATTACAATATTTTCATTCTTTTCAAAATAAAATTTTAGTTGAGAGAATATTAGCTTTCCAAGCCTCAAAAACTCCGACCCGATATTTCAAATCTTAACAAAATCCCGCCAAAATATTTCTCAACTTCACAAAGAGGTATTCTGCCGTGACGAGTAAGAATACCGTCAAAGCCAACAGGTGTACCAAAATAACTCTGACAAATCAAGAATTTTTCGGGAAATTTGTGAATAATTCGGCCTCGATTCTGCAGAGGATTTCGTTCGTAATTTGGTCCAAAAAGTTTGAAAATTTCAAGGGGAAGCATTTATAACGTTCTTCATGAATGAATATATTCTGAGAAGAAATTTGGCAACATTCGAATGCTCATTCAGCATTTTTACTAAGCACGGCAGAGCTGACCTCCGTGTTTCCTTTCACCTGTGTTAGTTTATTTACTTCCATGGTCGCAATTTTAACGAGAGTTTTATATCCCAACTGTGCTTGCATTATCATCGCCACCGCCAATATTTTTGTCGTTTTTTTCTGGAATGGAATCGTCAGTTCGTGATGAAAAGCGTGCGGTGGCTGTATTACAACGAATTCATGATGGTTGAAACCACAAGCTATCGCTTCATATGACGTCATCAGACCCATAAGCCAGCCATATCGAATAAATTTTCTTCACCGACTTCCAAAAAATTTTAATGGCGAATGTTTAATGTAGAGTACTGTTTTTCAAACTTGTGCCAAAAGAATTAAATGTGATGTATATAGCCGTTTAAATAAGTTTATTAAAAATATGTAATATAATATTCTAAAATATATATAACATTCAACTAGATCATTATGAAAATTTCAGGAGAGACGGAATATCCGTAATGATTCAATAACATCATCCGTGAGCACTTCGAAATCATATCTATGGTAATTTGTGAGCTGTTGTCATCAGTATTTCGTTGCCTCTTTGTCGTAAGGGGTATTATTCTTTCTTTTCGAGAATTGTCACGCCCTCTCCCTCCACCTAAAAAAAAAAAAACAAAAACAAAAAAAATTTAAAACAGCGTTATAACACTACACGGTTTTCGTGGTTCACACGATTGTGAAATCCTGTCATGAAATTTCAAGAAAGAAAAGTCCATGATGGATATTTACTATCACGTGGAGTACGCATAATTGCTACCTCATACCTACCTGATTTCTACCCTTTTTTGTAAAAAAAAAAAAAAATACTTGAATGTAAAAAATGCATTCATTAGTATAGTATGCCGCCTGTGTTTTGAAACCAGACGGACTTCAATTAAATATGTGATCCGCGAAAAATTGTTCCCGACGCTTTTCACGAGACCTTTACGGTTGAAAAATAATTAAAAGGATGAGCTCATCATCATAGAGTATACTGAACATAATTCTTGCCTATGTTTGTTCCCGACACCTCCCTTAGTTCGGCAAATGAGAGAGGGGTTTCGTTGCTGAAAGCTATATTTCCCCGTTTGTTTTGTGACAAATGAAAGCCTCTGTTTTGATCGGGGCGATTGTAAACGAAGGGGGGCATCGGCGTGATACAAAGTTAATTTAAAAGTGAAGCCAGGTTTAATATCCGGGCAACAGGGTTTTAATTTCAATTTCAATTTGCATGGCCCTCGGCAAGTCGCGTCCCTCCCCTCTGCCGTGCTAAGGAAAAACGCCGTATGAACATTCGAGAGTTGCCAAATTTCCTTCGATAAAATGTTTATTTTTCAGAAAAGCTATGCATATTTTACCCTGAAATTCTCAGGAACTTTAGGTGAAATTGCGAACAAAATTACATGAAAAATTGGCAGAATAATGTTCACAAATTTTCCGGAGAATTCGATATTCACCGAAGGAAATTTGGCAACGCCTGAGGGTTCGTACGGCGTTCTTCCTTAGCACGGCAGCCCTCTCTCTCCGTCTCTGGCCAAAACTGATGCCTTGTTTCGTTTGTTTCAGATTGGAGCGGCCCAGAAATGAGTTGAAGAGGCGATTTATGAGTTGCAATTAGAGGCATCGCCGGAGATAGTGGCGCTGAACGATGAGTTTTTTCAACTCGCTCCAGCAGTATGTGACGAGCAGTGTTGCGAATTTGTCCCTGAGCCCGAAGCGGTTCTCCCTGTCGAAGGAGTCCTCCTCGGAAATCCCGTCCGTTGGCTCGGAAGAGGGCAATGGAAACGGGAGTCGAAGTGGCTCGACGGGAAGTGTCAACGCACCCCCTTTGGGTTTTCCAAAAGTTGTTCCTCCCCCTGGAACCTCGACCCCTCCTCGCAGGAGAACACTCGAGGGCCCCAAAAGAACCGGCTCCTTCAAGCAAGCATCCCAGCATAGACGCCCGTTATTCTTCTGCAAGAGGCGTTTGTCCTGGCCAGAGGTCGATCAGCAAGCTACCTCAGGGTAAGTGCATCCCATACCCATGATTTTTAACACTTAAAAACTTATTATAATTACTCATTCACAATACTTGGTGTAATTTGCGGTTCATTTTAAAATTTCTTTAAATTTTGAGAGCAGCTCAATACCCGACAATGATCCCCGGGCAGTCACCTGAGTTATTATAATACTATGCTTCACAAACCAAGCTCTTTTCGGTCTCGAAGGTCCTCTGGCGATTCTATGGCTATTGCATGTGTCTTATTAAATGGGTCCCAAAGTTCCTAACCATCATGGTGAAATTACCAAACCATAGACCTCGGTTGTAGAATTATTATGAATAGATACTCGGTTATGAATATTTTTGCGCGTATTTTACATATTGAAAATAATACTTCTAGACGTTTTTGCGCGAAATTTTTAGAGGATCTTGTTGAGAGAGCGAAAATAATTCAAACGAGAACAAACTTTGTTCAAAAGCAGTGATCGATGTACGTGGTTTAATACTTTAACCATCAAACTTTATCCACGTCGTACAAAACTTTCATCTCTTTCGAAGAGATTACAATAAATTTATACATTTATTAAAAGTATGCCGAGATCACAGGACATAAATTATATAGATTTATCATGAAATCAAAATCAAAGGCTTGGATTGAAGCTTTTCCGGCAGAAAAATCTCCTTCCTTTTCTCCTCTTAACATCCTCGTGAAAATAATTTCTGACTGGTACATTTGACTTTGTTTTGGTGAGTGAGTCAACTTTTCGAACCAATAACCATCGAGTAAAAACAGCTACCAAATGTTGACTAAAAATTTGCCCAGGGCACGAAATGAAATTACAGCATCAATCTTTTCTGGAAAATTCCAAACATTATTCTAGGAAAGTCCGAAAAGGTCTGTGAAACGAGGGTATTTCCGCGTAATCCGCCTGCAGTAAAGGGTACTTCCAGATAAAACCGCAAGAGCTACCACCTGCGCAAATTAACGAATATATCGCCCATGGTCTGTAAATGTTGTCAAGTCTGAAGCTATATAAACATTTTCGTATTATTTAAAACTCGTGTTTAAGTCTCTCAAATTCAGTTAGAGTAACACGATGTCGGAAATCGAAAAACATTTAGCGTTCGCGTTAAGAAAATCTTTTTTGTCTACATTATAGGCCATTTCAAAAAAAATCAACTTCTGAAAGAACTTCTTTTAAATTTCGACACATGGAGGCTGGGTTTTGAGTAATTTCGCACAAAAAGTCCTACGTATCAAAATATTAAAATTGGAATCACGTTTTTGGCACACTTGAGGAGACCGGCACTACCGGCAGTTTCTTCATCTACATTCTTTGCAGACGTGCAATGGCGTAACTATCTAAGCTCGGGTCCGTCGATCCGCAGACTGGGCACCCTTTAATCCCCCCCCCCCCCCCGTTCGATTAAAAAAAATCAAAAATTCCAGTAGACGACTGGGCCCCTTAGAACCGTAGCCCCTGCATGCATTTCCGCCACTGCAGACGTGTAAGTGTAATACTAAACAGCATTTAAGCAAGAGTTGCATCAATTAAACGAATCGTCTTTACAAGGGGATTGAAAACACTTGCGTGGCCTTGAAATTTAAAGGAGCCTTGAGTGGTTTTTTGCAAAAGCTTTCATTTCTGGCAACGTCAAGGAGATTTCATGGGCACTTATTTTCGGCCCTGTTGTATGAGTGTTATCAGTCTTAAAATATTGCATATAGGTTTCTTAAAAAAAAAAAAAAAAAAAAAAAAAAAAAAAAAAAACGTTTCATGTAAAAAAGACTGGTTTGTTTAACGTTTTTAAAATGACGTTTGATAAGACATTCTTTGAACACTCAAGAATGCTCGTAGGTATGCGCAACATCCTTCAAATATAATGTCTTATCTCTCCAACCCCATGCTCTCAGTCAGGAGGGAAGAAGTTGATTTTATTAACACTCGTTGCAACCCCGCGGTTGATTTTTTGCAAGACGCGAGTCTTTTCTCAACGTCGTTAGAATAATCCCCACGCGATGCCGGCGAAGGGAAACAATGTGAGAAGAAAGAACGCAAAAGTAAGCGACGGCCTCAGACTCGGAGAAGAGGGGAGTCACAAGGGGCTTATCATCATCCTGTGAGTTAAGAGGGACGCACGATTCTCGCGGAAATTGTATCTCTTTTTTGGAAGGCGATAATATTACAGAGCGACCACATCATATCCGTAGATCCTCCCTTATTGCGTGCCGTACATTTCGTGAGCGGCAGATCTCTGCGACTCAACCTCGCGTCTTGTCTCCGAGAGCTTAGGAAAATAATAAATTGCTAGCCTTCCGAGCTTGCTTTTGCGCCTAGCCGGGGGTCCGCCCCCTGAACCCCCGGTTACTTGCTCCGCGAGCGCCTCGAGAGGAGAAGGATAGTGGTAAAATACGTTTATTTTTGAACGATACCTTAGCTACTTCGACTGTTTACACGGGGAGAGTATTGCTTTCTCAATCCTTTTACTAGGAAAATTGTGCTGCTCTCTGATTGGTTGGCAAGTTTAAGGCTTTCATGGTTGCCCCTCCGCTCTTATTTGTGGGCCAAGGTTAGCAAACAGGGTGGCGATAAGGCTTTACACGTGATACAGATTTTCTAATTTTCAAACCCAATTTGAGTTCTGAACAAACTTTCTAAGATACTTTTGCCAAAAATTAATTTTTTTGTGTGATTTTCATTTATTATTCAATCAACTGATTACACAAATTCCTCTTGATTCTGTTTGTTTACATTGGTCCTTAAGACCCCCGTGGCAAGTCTAAAACTGATATGAATCAATCAGAGAGTGGCAAATGAATGACAATACTCAGGGCAATATATGTAAATAACTCTTTAATTGGCAGCATAATGGGCAGGACCGGATTAAGGGGGTGGCCACATAGGCCGCGGCCAATGGCGGCAAAATTAGGAGGCGGCAAATTTTGCAATTTTTTTAAATGCAGGTACAAATAAATTGGATTCAGAAAAAAATTACAAACTAGAAAAGGTGACAAAATCTCTCATTTCCTGAGAGTTCATTAATTTCTAATTTTGTCGTATTTCGGTGATACAAGAGACTGCGCGCCTTTAATTAGTTGATTTAAGAGAGAAACCAAACTCGTAATTTGGCCTGGAGCGGCGCGGCGTAGAGAGAAATGATGACGAGGACTTGAGATGAAAAGGAGAAGCCCTTGGCGCGGCGGTAGGCATGTAACACATATTAGCGCCTGCGAGACTGCTTGAATACTTCACGCATTGCGTCAAACACAGTACGGTCAACGGCGGTCGGCGCGGTGCGGCGTGGAACGCACAGTGCCCACAAGACTACATAAATACTTCACGCATTGCGCCAAACACAGTGTGGTCAGCGCGACACGGCGGCGGAAGTTAAAATTATTAAACCACATTTATGTTTGCTCTTTCTGAATTTTTTAGTTCATTTCTTACAAATGAAAAGCTCCTGTAAAAGACCAGTATGAATGCAAGTCAAATATGCCCTTGAAGAAAAACTTGTCATTCGGCAAAAACTAGTACAGCCCGAGTTGGGTCCTCTTTCAGAATTCAAAATATTTCCGCAATTATATACTTAATCACGATCTGAGCTTTTAATTCGGCTAGAGAAGCTAAATATTGTATAATTTTCGGTATGTTATGCAATGAGGTATGCCCCTCTCAAAATTTCATTCAGGGGTAAGTTGAATGCGGTATGACGCGAATGTATTAGGTAGAATCGTTGAAATGGAAACGGTTTGAAGCGAAGGTTCATTCATCGTACGGCTCTCATCAATAGGCGTCCGGACTTGATGATTCGGATTGACGTGGTTATTTTTGGAACCAGCAGTCTTTGAAGCTTTATTCAAATTTCATGTGTGCTTAGTTGGTGAATGCGTTTATTTGAAGTGTACATGTGTATGTTTATGCATGTATATGTGCGAGAACGCATAAAAGTACATATAACACCTAAAATCGTTCTGGAGGCTCCAGAGATCTACAGCAGGCTTAGTTCTGTCATAGAGAAAAAAGGAGGTGGTCGCATTTGAGGATTTGTCCACCCCGTGACGTACAGGTAGGTTCAATATGGCGTCAGGATTTCAGTAAAATCCGAAATTCCAAGTATAAGAAACGAACGATCTAATGTTTGTTCTTTTCACTCAATTCAATTTCAATTTCTGTTCTTTCAATTCAATTTCAAACACTTCCTATAAAATATGCACACCGTTCACAAGAAAATCTATGAAAAAAAAGCGTCTACTTACGTCATCGACGGAATCCAAGATGCCTGAAATTGCCACCGTCTCCTTTTTCCTCTATGCATTTCAGCAGTCAAATATTTGACCCAAAATAAACAATCTGCAAACATTTTTGAGGCTGTTGAAGATTCCTTCTCTTAGAGCTCCTTGCAAAAAAAAAAAAACAAAAAAAAACAAAAAAAAAACCTACCACAAAAGTCACGTAAAACTACTTCAATCCAAAATTCGACTTCTGCCAGGTGTCTTTTCAAGTCCAGAGACAGCTACCTATTCTCGTTTTAATTCACAAACTTAGTTATTGCGAAGAAGAAGATTTTAATTTCTCTCTTTCTTCCGCACTTTTCCCATCATCTCAATTTCCGAAAACTCCGCTGAGACGACGTGGGCAAACTTCGGGCGATTAAAAGGGAAACTTTAGATTTTTTCCACTTAAAGACTAATTACTGTTCTTAGCATATTTATCCACCCCCGCGGCCCCCGTCTCCCTACCCGCCGGATCCCTCAACCCACCTCAACGCCCGAGCAGTCTCCCTTACAACGGAGGAACTTGAACGAAGGAGGTGCAGGAGCTCTGGAAGAAGTTTCAGAATCAGCGAGTTAGTTGCATAAAAGTGTTCGCTTTTCACTTCGTGTTTTTAATTAAACCTGTCACTTGTATCCTGAATTCATCTCATTAGCTCCAGCTGTAAGGAGCCATTTCTCGACTTACGGCCTCTTCCTAGTTAATATCATTACTCATTCAGTTTCCCAAAATCATCCTTTTTTGATAGT